CACTTTCTATAACCATCACTTTTTCCTCCATTTTGCAACCATACTCAACCATTTCTGTGAGCATCCTGATTACCAGTGTTTTGAACTCCGCATCTGATAGGTTGGCTACTCTTCACTGTTTAGTTTTATTTTGGAGCTTTGATCTGTTCTTTCATTTGGGCCATATTTCCTTGTCTCAGCGTGCCCCCTGCATTGTAAGGGTCAGAGTCTTAGGTATTCACCAGGGCAGGACAACCCAGGTTGCTGTTATGACGCTGTGGGGGGGGGGGGGTTGGAGAGGGAACAATGCCACTTGCAGTGGCCTTTCGTTCACTTCCCCTGCTACCCACCAGCAAATTGGGCCCTTCTAATGCTGATTCCTGGGTGACTGGGTTTGTGTACGTTCTAGGAATCTATGGGTCTCTCCAACGACTCTCTTATGAGACTGGGAGTTTCTCCTGCTGCCATATCCTCCACAAGATTTTATAGCAAGAGGTTTTGAGGCTTTCTTTCCCCACATTGTAACCCTCGATTGCATGGTATGTCTCGTTCCCCAGGTGTTCCTCCCCCGACATGCAAATGTTGGACTGCCTGGTCTGCCAGCCACCGCCGCCTCACCTGCCTGGTCCTCCAGATGCCACCTTGCCATGCGTCCTCTTCTCCCCTGCTGCTCGACTCCTCCCCTCCTACCAGTCTGGATGAATGTTTCTTCTTTAACTCCTTGGTTGTCTGACTTCCATATAGTTCCAATTTTCTGGCAGTTCTGGTTATTTCTTGTTTTTAAATTTGCTGTCCTTCTTTTGGTTGTGCAAGGAGGCAAAGTGTATCTACCTACCCCTCCATCTTGGCCAGAAGTTCTAACTGGCTTGATACATTTATATATTGCAACTGATTATCACCAAAGTGTTAGTTAACACCTCTATCATATAATTACTACATAATTAATAAGTCACATAATTATTTCTTTTTGTGTGTGTGATGAGAACAATTAAGATCTAGTCTCTTAGCAACTTCAAAGTTTTGTTGACCATGATCACTATGCTGTTCATTAGACCTCCAGGATTTATTACTTATCTACTAGCTGCAAGTTTCCACATGGTACATACCACCTCCTATCTTCCTAGGCATTCATAGAAGGACTGTCTGATGTATTAAGTAGATTGGTCTCTTATGAATAACTGAGAGAACTTAAAAGGATTTTTAATTTCATCAAGTTACCACATGACCCAGCAATTCCACTCCTATATATACTCAAAAGAATGGGAAACCTACATCCACACAAACACCTGCCTGTGAATTTCATAGCATTATTCATAAAAGCCCAAAAGTGGAAACAACTCAGACGTCCATCAACTGATGAATGAACAAAATGAGGTATATTCATACAACAGAATATTGTTTAGCCATAAAGGAATGAAATACTGATACATGATACAACATGATGAGCCTTGAAAACATGCTTAATAAAAGAAACAAAAAAACTTCTCATATCACATTATTCCATGTATATGAAATGCCCAGAATAGGTAAATCTATACAAACAAAAAGATTAGTGGTTGCCAGGGGCAGGGGATGGCAAGTAACTACCAACAGATATGGGTTTTCTTTTTGGGGTAATAAAAATGTTCTGAAATTAGCCCTGGCTGGTGTGGCTCAGTGCCAACCTGAGAACCAAAATGTTGCTGGTTCGATTCCTGGTCAGGGTACACGCCTAGGTTATGGGTCAGGTCCCCAGTTGAGGGAATGCGAGAAGCAACCGATCGATGTATCTCTTGCACAGTGCTGTTCCTCTCCCTCTCTTTCTCTCTCCCTTCCCCTCTCTCTGAAAATAAATAAATAAAAATGTTCTGAAATTAGTGGGGATGGTTATACAAAACCATCTATACTCCAGATGAATAAACTAAATACGTACTGAACAGTGGGTGAATTTTGATGGGACGTGAATTATATCTCAGTAACGTTATTTTTTTTAAAAAGGATGTTTAATTCATTATGAACTTAGGTTATTTTACTAAATAAAATTCTTATTTGTTGTTATTAAAGTGCTAGATCATGATCAAAGACACTGAAAGTAATCTGCCATTGCTTTGAACTTTTACCTTTCAATTTGCAAAGAAAAATAAACTAGTTTCACTTCTAGGTTGTAATGGATCTAGACATAGTCATTTATGTCATTTTACCACCCAGGAGAAAGTTTTTCTTCACTAAAATCTGAAGAGTACAAACGCAAAAATTCTATTCTTGAGAAAATGCTCTAACATTGTGCTTAAATCAAAACACTTACTATCTGAAAGTAAGTAACCAGGGGCTCCTGGGGCTTCCCTGCTAAAAACACTACATCCCTTTAATAAGCAAGTACTAAAAACTAGTTGAATTGTGGCAATATTTTAATGCCTTAAGATAAACAATGAACATTAATACTAGTACTGGGGTAAGGATCTGTGAAACATTCTTTTAAATATTTACTTGCTCTAATAATAACAGTAATACTAATAACTAGTACTTATTGAGCAACTATTGTATAATGTGCTAAATAAATACTGTCCTTGGCTCTTTACAAATAGGATGTTTAATTCAGTCTTCATAGTCACTCTGAGGAAAGTATTTTAATCTTTCTTTCATAGATAAGGAAACTGAGGCCTAGAGAGATTGAGCAAATCTTGTCCTTGAGCACGCAGGTAAGAGGGTCTAAATAAAAACCCCAAACAACAAGTGCTGGCGAAGATATGAAGAAAGGAGAATGCTTTTGCACTGTTGGTGGGAATGCAAACTGGTGCAGCCACTGTGGGAAGCAGTATGGAGATACCTCAAAAATTTAAAGACGGATCTGTCTTTTGACCCAGCGATCCCACTTCTGGAATTATATTTGAAGAAACCCAAAACACTAATTCAAAAGAACATAAGCACCCCTGTGTTCACTGCAGTGTTCTTTACAATCACCAAGATATGGAAACAGCCCAAGTGTTCATCAACAGGTGAGTGGATAAAACATGGGACATTTACACAATAGAATACTAGTCGGTCTTAAAAAAGAAGAAAATGTTACCCTTTTCAACACTATGGATGGATGGATCTGGAGAACATTATGCTAAGTGAAATAAGCCACTCAGAGAAAGACAAATACCCTATGAGTTCACTCATATGTGGAATCTAATGGACAAAATGATGTGACAAGCAAAACAGAGATGGGCTCTTAGATGGAGAGCAGATGACAGCTAGTTGGGAGGGGAGGTCAGGGTGGAGGAACCGAGCAAAAAGGAAAAAGGACTCATGTACATGGACAACAGTGTGATGAGTTCTTGGGGGAGGGGAGTATTAAGGAGCTAAATGATAATGGAGAAAATACAATAAAGATTAAATTTTTAAAAAACAAAAACAAATAAAAACCCAAGTCTTTCTGAACTCAAATGATCTCTTCTCTATCCCTCTATACTCCTCTTCAAAATGAAAAACTTGAAGAAACTTAAGAAGCCACCCCTTTCCTATCTTACAAAAGTAGTGCTTTGAAAAGGTGATTGTTCCTATAGTCTCAAAGAAGAAATAAAGTAAACAAAAGATTGTCACCAAAGAGGAAATAAAGAAAACAGAAGATTGTTAATAACAACCAGCAGTCAATAGGCACAAAATAGCATGCCATGCCCCATACCTCATATACTGCTTCCTGATCTAACAGTTTTCCCATTGATTCTGCTTATAACCTTAGGATGTCAAAATGTAATGATCTCATTATGGAAAACCCCAGTGAACACCAGTTAGTGAGACTGGAGAGCTCACTAGACCAGGAAGGAAAAGGAATCAGTTGGCAGGAAGTGGTGTTTATCTAAGAATGTAAAAGTCTTTAGCATTAATATTAACACTGTAACTCCAAAGAACTTTAATTTTAAGCTATCTCTGCATTCCTTTTCATTATTTTAATCTGTATTACTAAAAGTTGACTCCCACTCTATCCTCCATATGTCTAATAGGATCCTAAATAAAATAAGACTGCTATATAGTCACCACTGATCTTCTTTGCTAGATACAGTTTACATACACATGTACGCACACACACATGCCGTAGTTCAATGGATTATCCCAGACTCAATTAGGAAAGGTAGCATGTGGGGCACAACCAAACATGAATTTCATCACCAAGTAGAATCTAGCTGGCAGAAACCTTATATTCACAACTGAAACATACATTCGTTCTTACACTTGTCAGGACTCTGCCCAAACCAAATCGAAACTGTAAACCAAGAACAGATTGATGGGTGTACAACTGCCAAGCATACAGCAAGAAAAAGTAGCTTAGAAGGTCTGCTCTCCAACCAGAAAACAGAGGAATGAAAAAAAATTAGTGCATGGAAAAAAATTTTGCACAAAAAGAACATCACAACGTATGGGGGTTAGGAGTCGCTTGGGGTTGAACAAATCCTTATGAAATGCTAAAGAAATAACCTCGATAATGGGAAAAGGCCAACTCAAGATGAAATAATGTCAAACTTGAGAATTTTCATCACTTTTCCTGTTACCCCCGCAGACAGCCCCAAGCTCCCAGCAGAGCCTTGAGGGAATCCAGGAAAAAAAATATTCGGTACGTGCTGAGCTGGGGTAGCAAGGGAAGGGGCCAACCTCGCGCGAACAACCACCTGTGCGTGATGGAGACCCCCATGAGGGAGTTCTGTTTAAAGTGAGAAGCAGCCCCGGGGATGGCCCTCCTAACCCAGGACATACACTGGATACTCACCCAACTCCACTGTCCCTCACGCCCGGACTCTGGCCACCTCCCAGATGAGAGCAACCCCTCCAGAGCCCTCCGCCCCCAGACTCTAGTCTCTCCCTCAGCCATCGCCAAAGCTCGCTGCCTGCTCCTCTGCTTGACAGCCGCCCTGCCACCACCAAGCAGTCCCAACTCCCCCAGCCCAGGTTGCCGAAAATAGCCTCCTGGGGGTCGGTGGCGCCCCAGGCCCGCGGGATTTAGAGCTTAGGATTTGGAAGGGTTTGTCCAATTCCCTCTTCCAGTCTCAGCGCCCTAGGCTCACCTCCCCGGCAGCTTGGCGCTCCTCTTCCAAAATTGCTTGCTATTCTCGGCGGCCATTGCTCTGGCCCAGGAAAGGCCTTCTGGGAGGGCCAGGGGGGTACTCAGCGAGATGCCCCCAGGACCCTGCGATCGGAAGGCCAATCCAGGCCGCTTCCCGGCTGCCGGTCAACGGCTCCCAGCTCCTGGAAGCGCCATCTTGGATGTGGGCAGTCCCCCCCAATCCAGCGCCGCTGTCATTGGTGGACTGCCAGGCTGTGGTCAGACGAACCAATCAGGAGCCGGAATCCTGCAGGCCGCTGAAGCCGAACAGTAACGTCAAGAGCTGGGCACACAGGTAGACTGGGAGGTAGTGCTTGGACAGCAAAGAGGCGGGGCTGAAAGTTCCTCATACCAGAGAGGGGAAGAAACCGGTAAAGGACCTATGGGAAGTAGTGAAGGGTAGTGTTTCCTTTGGCCGGGGTGGGGAAAGAGACTCTCACATATAATTTTTTTTTTTAAAGAGAACATATGTATTATATACACAGATCTTGACCTAAACGTAAGGGCCCATATGTTGTGTGCAGCCCATTTATAACATCTCGTAACTCAACGATGCTCTGGTTATTACTCTCTGCTTTCCCTTTTCATCTAGATCCAGTTTTTTTTGTTTGGTTGGTTGGTTGGTTGGTTGGTTGGTTGGTTGGTTGGTTGTTTGGTTGGTTTTTTTGTTGGTTTGATTGAAATCTGTGAAAGAAGATCAATAGGGATCCTATAGCCCAGGCTTGATAACTGTTCAACCCATGAATAACAGTTGGTTCTCTCCTCTGTTAAATGAACACTGTTGAAGGACTTGTACTGTGAGTGAAGTTCAAATAATCTGATCCGTTTCAACCAATAACTGTCATTTTCTGACTATGAGAACCATATGCTGGCAAACAATATTTAAGAAATGTTATTTTATTCATCTAGTTCAGACTACCAAGTAATGTTTCTTGCAAGGACATAATATATCGCCATGGTATGAATCACAAAGACTAAGGATATTCCCCCAAACAGACTTAATTCCTCTTATTAATCTATTATAAATCTTTCATTCTTGAATATATTTTCAGTCCACTTTGACTCAGAATGAGATTTAACGTGAGCATTTTGAATCCTTTGAATGTCTTGACTGTGGGGAGTTTTTTTGTTTGTTTTTTGTTTTTGTTTTGTTTTTTTCTCTTTTTGTGTTTCTGTGGTTGTATGCCACAGTGATTATGGGAGTGGACAGGAAGCACATACCAGTCCAGAGTAGTTTTCATCCCAACAAGGGACTGTTGAGGTGGGCTTGTTGGCTCCCACTGCTGTTTACTGCTACCACATATCCTTTTATATACTGGAGAATACTTAAGGACCCCCTGTCTAAAGAATGACTAATTTTATGTGCCCTCCAATGGTCTCTTTCTACATAGACATTACTCCCATTTTCAAGCTTCTTTTGCCCCCTAATTTCACAATCATGGGATTTTTATAAAAGGGGCTATTTTTTTTCTCTGAACCTTTCATGCTTTTATAGATTTCATCTTATCTTGTCTCAGGTAGTCAACTTTAATGGGCATTTAATCCATCACACAAGAGCCCCTCTTATCCTTTTAATCTTATCATCATTTTAGCTGCATTTCTTTCTCTTGACCAATACTGAACTCCATGAGAGCTTTCCTGAGGTTTTGTTAAAGCCGATGTTTTGTCTTTATTCTGGACAGACAGAACTTTTGCTGGCATTTTGGACTTTACAAGAGCTGATGTCTTAAAGAAATAATATATAGCGACTTCTGTATCCCTTTCCTTGGTTGCAACCAGCAGTTCAGAGTTCATTATCTTAAAAGTATCTTCTGAGTTTTCTCCCCCTATGTGAGCTATCTTACACTTGTCTATGTGGCGTGTCACCTGTCACTTTCTATCCTACTCACATAGCTTTAGAAATGTTCCAGAAGAATTCCCTATTAACTTGATATTTCACACATGGAAAACAGAGTATAATTTGTGTACTGAGAAGTGTCTCAGTGTTCCTTTTCCTTGTTTAATAAATGTTAAGTAACACGGATCTCCTAGGGAAGCTCTTAACATTGTTCAGCCCAAATAAGCCCTATTATTCCTGGTCTTTGTTTTCTATATCTAAGCCAGTTTCCTATCCAAAAATTTAAAAATTTACTCCAGTCATCTAATAATAACTTATTAAATTGTCTTTATTAGGGAAGTTGAGATTGTTGGAACCTTTCTTACCACCAGCACCACCATGACCACCCAAATCTAAACCAACCAACATCCTTACAGCAACCTCCTATTTGGCTTCTCCGCTTCCACTCCTGCCCACTTATAGTCTATTCCCCACACAGCAGCTAGAGAGAGCCTCTTAAATTGTCGGTCGGATTACATCACTTCTCTGGGCCCAATGCCTTGAAATGGCTCCATCACACTTCGCATAAAATCCAAGCTGCTTAAAGACCCTAAATGATCCGTTTCCAGCCTCTTCCTTGCTTAATCTATCTGTTCCAACCATGCTTATTGGCCTTTTGCTGTTCCATAAGCCCTTCAAGTATGTTCCTACCTACCTAATGCATTAGCCATTTCCTCTGCTTGGAATTCTTTTCCCCTAAATACCTGGCTGATTTCATTTTATTCAGGTATATTCCCAAATGTCCTCACTTTGGAGAGTTCTTCCCTGACCACTTATCTTTAATAGTGGGCTCCGCCACTCTGGTTTGTTTGTTTGTTTGCTTGCTTGCTTTTAGCTTGCTATATTACATATTTGTGTATTGTCCATCTCCATCCCTTAGAACATAAACTTCACTATGGCAGGGGTTTTGTCTGTTTTGTTCTCTGCTGTAACTCCAGAACCTAGCATAATGCTTGGCATATGGTAGGTGCTGGATATATATTGAGTGAGAGAATGAAGAACATAAACTATTGTTGTCTTTTGGTTCTATGTTGTTCCTATCCATTTTTTTTGTTGTTGTTGTTGAAAAAGATGATAGAAAATGTTTTCAAACCCCCAGTAAGATGTATCTATCCACTTTACCAAAGATTCTAAAAGCTTGCCTATACTCTTAGTTGAAGAATAGTCTTCCTTTCTTGGGAAAGATTGTCATTTTCAAGTCCCTTTGCAGCTTTAGAGGAATGAACCTGTACCTAGAATGATGACGGAAAGAAGCCATCCACCTAACCAAGAAGTGAATCGAATTAACCCTGTTCATCAAAGTGGTGTTAGCTGTGATAGCCAGATCACCCTCACACCAAACCCTGCCTCCCTAGAGGTAAACTTCATTGATTTGAGGTTTTCAAGTGGTCCTTGAAGTATTTTAGGTGGAAGCTATAGAGGCAGGCATTTACTGGATCACTAGACTAGTGATTCTCATACTTTAATGTGCATGTCAGTCACCTGGATGTCATGTTAAAAGCCTATGTTCTTATTCAGTATGGGGTAGAGCCTACAGTTCTGCATTTCCAACAGCTCCAGGTGTGACTGCTGATACGTGGACCTCACTTGGTAGATCTTCTGTTACTAGAACAGCATGGCCCGTTATCCTTGAATTTATCTCAAAGGTTTGATTATTTTTAAATTTTAAGTAGAAGATTCTCAATGTCGTCTGCTTTCAAGTTATTACTTTTCCTTCCTTAACTTCATATTAATTCAAAGGAGAGTAAAACAACTTAGATTAGGGCAAAGTAGAGTGAAGGGGACGAGCTATGCTTGGGTTGAACTGGACTCAAAAAAGGAGGGTGTATTCCAATTCTTAGAGAAAGTTCTGTGGAAGAGATAAACCCTGAGACATGCAGAAAAAGAAAGGCCTGAAGAACAGTAGGGAGGACATTTCAGAGCAGTAGCTCCATGGGAAAGATAGAAATCAAGAAAAAAACCTTTGGACTTAGTTACCAACAGTTCCTTAGTTACTGGCAGACTTTAACCTCAGCAAAGGAGTGGAGTGAACCCTGTGGTGAGAGAAAGGATTAAGAAATTAGAGCAAGAAGCAGCTCTCACAACGCACTGTAAGGGATGGGTCAATCTGGGATCTAAGAGCAAAAGAGCTTTTTTTTAATAGAGCCAAGTGAGAGAGATCACTTGTATGATAGCAGGCAAAGGATAAGCAAAAAGACTGATGAAGAAAGTCGTTATTGGAGTAAAGAGAGGAAGCAGAGAGAGTTGGGGGTGTGGGCAAGCAGAGAAAAGATTAAGAATTTCTTGCTTAGGCATTTATTCTAAGAAAATAAGTCAAAAGTAAGGGGGTGAAGCTCTGTTTATGAAGATGTTCCTTGCCTCATAACCAGTAATAAATGGAAATGAAAAGAATATAAAGATTTAAACATGAAGAGGTAGTCACACCAGTTATGGTGTGTAGTTTGTAAGCTTGAATCATGCTATACCATTAGAATGTGTACATTTGAATGCTACATAGCACATCAACAAAGTTTATGAACAGATGTATGGGGGTGGGGAGGGAGGAGAATGCACAATGTTTTTGCTTAATTTCAGTAAAAATATATGGATTTTGTCAAAGAAGAAAACATGAAAAAGTTAAGCAAATTTTGTAAGGTGGTAGAATTACACATCTTTTTATTTCTGGAATTTTTCTTTAATGCTACTATTTTTTAAATTATTATGAACTATATGTGACACAATAAACCAGGAGCTGTCAAACTTTTTCTATAAAGGGTGAGATTGTAAATACTGTCAGCTCTGCAGGCTGTACAACCTCTTTTACAGCTACTCAACTCTGCTTTGTAGCATGAAAGCAACCATAAACAATATGAAAATAAACTGGTGCCCTGTGATCCAATGAAACGTTATTGGTGGACATGAAAATTTTATGTAATTTTCACATCTCATGAAGTATTCTTATTTCAATTTTTTTCAACAATTAAAATACGAAAAAAACATTCTTAGCTAATAGGCCATACAAAAACAGATTTGGCTCAAAGGTGGCAGTCTGCCAACCCCTAAAGAATGAAGAATAAATAACATATAAGAATAAGGTTAAGAAACAAAAAACCTTATGATACAAATGACCCCTTTTGCCCCTCCTTGATCCCCTTCCCCCCCGTCCCGTGCAAGCTTCAATCCTAATTTATGTGCTCAACATTCTCATGCATGTTGTAGACTTTTATGACATATGTGTATATCCATAAACAACATGTTTTTCATGTTTTGAAACTTTAAAGTAGCATCACACTGTACATATGCTTCAGCAACTGGCTTTTTTC